AGAATGCAGTGGTGAAGGAAGAAGGTGAGGTGAGAAATTCCCTCCCCCTCTCCAGGAAGACCGCAGTGGACCCACCTGTGTGCACCCTACCTGGATCGCGAGGTCGTTTCCCGCCAAAGGAATTTGCATATTTTTTTCGAGGACCCGTACTTGGGGTCTAGGCGCGTATAAGCGGAAAATATTTTAAAACAGGAGGGTGACACGCAGGGTATGAATATGCACCCAAAGTTTCAGCCTCCCGGCTTTCCTGGTTGCTGAGATAAAAGTGGGTGACAAAGTTCAATCGCTTCTGAACACACACACACAGACAACCTCTCGACAATATGCATTTTTGCTAGCTGTAGTAGCGCTGTGCAGCAAAAACGTATAAAAACTAAAACCAGGATTTTTAATTGGGTATATATTATTCCGATCAGTTGCTGTTTACTTTTGCAGCTTTGTTGACTCTTTAGGTCTGTTATTGCTAATTCTTTTTCTTTCGCTTTCAGCCTTTCGTAATTGCCGGTTGCTCGCAGAATTGAAATCTATTTTATAAGTTGAATCGAAAAGATGGTTTTACGCATCAATGTTAAATAAGTTTTCAGTTCGGGCGACGTGATTGTTGTCGAGCCGCTCAACGATCTTCTGATTACTCAGTTCACAATAGTGGTTTTTGCTCGTTTTAATCAAATGGCAAACTATGCCTTGCTGAGCATTTCTGTGCTTAAAACCACTAGTAGACCGCCGAAATTCACCGCTTCCGAGTATTCTGCCACTGTTCCGGCAAGGTATTTTCATTGCAACCTTACATTCTTTTTATCAGTTTATACGTTCCTTTTTTGTCCCGAGCGTGTCCATTCATATTATAAAATTCCTTGTTCAATGTCATGTGCAGTGAGGAGTTGGACCTGAAAATCAGCGGATTCGAAATACGAAGATGATGTAGAGTACCACCAAACTTACAAACGATGCGCGTTGAGCAAAATTGGAAGCTACGCTTACCTTGGTTGAGAGATCAAAATATACCACACTATCCAAGTCGTCTAGTGAATTTCAAGAGTTATTTTATGGGGCATTTTCTGTAGAATTGCTAATATCCAGCAGATATCTGGTCGGAATCATCGTCCTTGCTTTTCTGCGAAGCCTGTATACGAAAGAAGCGAGAAGACATTGGGCGTGCTGAAGCATAGGATGATTCTACGAGTATCCAAATTTAACATCATTTGCTGAAATACCTGGAGACTGGAATGTTGATATAATCAATTGCACCGTTTTGACCAGGGCAGGAGGCAAAATTTAGCAATCTCCTACTTTTTTATGCGTTTTTTGCAGCAATGCAATGCGAAAAACGCATATTGACGAGAGGTTGTCTG